ATGTGCACATGATATCTATTTGTACTGATCCATAAAGCTACATCTATGTTGCTGATGAATATTCGCAATTTGAGATCATGGATGTATACAGATTATATCCTATTCAGAAATGACTCGCTGATGAGTTTTTAAATGGTGTTGACGAATTTGTGTAGATGGAATCACAGCTATCCATTTACCGTTCAAAGGGTAAGTTCTGATGTCCTTGTGTGAAGCACAAAAGTTAATTGTACCTGTGACCTAAAAAAGTCAAGTCGGATTTTTACCACAAGAGATTTAAACCAAATTATTGGTATTGGACTACACATGACAAACAAGAACCAGAAGTTGATTATGATCAAGTTGGTGTATTAATAAGTTATGGCTCTCAAATTGAGAAATTCGGTCATGACATATATGGATTTAGCTGAATTTAGAAACCTTATAGAGCCTCAAAACTTCAATTGGGCGGCAATAGTGAGTTAGGTTTTTCATATTTTATGTTCAAGTGTGAATGTGAGTGTGTTTTAGTGTGAAGAAATTTGGAGATTGCATAGAGAAAACTTTAGAAGTTTGCTTGGGGAGAAAACATAAGGTACTTTGTATTTGTGTTTAAGTTTTTGTTGTAAGACCTAGATTTCAATGCAAATGTTTTTTTTTTTTGTTTAATCTCCATGAATTCTAAGTAATTCTCTTTCTTTCTTCTTGCACATGGGATTTAATCTTGTGGGATGAGAATGATTTAAGGATTTCTTTTTACTTTTAAAAAAATGTGATATTATTTTCAACAAACATTTATTTACTTTGCAAACTTGTCACTTGTGAGGTTAAAATCCATTGAGAAACATAATGACTTGGGAGGGCTATGATTTCACCCAACTAGTGGATACCACACTTCATTCTAGGCAGAGTCATGGTGATCACTTAAGGGGGAGTGCAAATAAATAGGTAGATAAGTTTTGATGAGCGTAGAATTGGTTAGATCTAGAGTGACATGTTAGATTTTTATCAGTTTGGCTTAAGGTATAATACCCTAACGTTGAGATTCAGTCATTACGATGTCATGGGCTAGGGGCATATAGAGGTAAGAGGCTAGATAACACTGATGTGGAATCGAGATGTTAAAGAGTTGGCTATAAGTTAGCTAATGTTCTCTGCAAGCACCGGGAGGGGGTAAAAAATAAGGTATACTTCTCTTTGTCACAATATTTCAATTTTGTCTTAACCCATTTGAATCCTACATAGATTACAATCTCTTTGCAAGTGGAAATGTTCTTTTTCATAATATCCAAACTTTTTCTTATATTTTATGAAGATGTTATATTTAGTTGTTACTTTTTTTAAGCTCTTTTAGTAGTCATTTTTGGTAAGCATATCATTTTAAATCTTTAATCTTTTTAAATTGCAATTTAAGTAGAATTTTTTTAAGTTAATTTTAAGAGTTACTGCATTCCTCGTGAGATCGATTGATGGTTTCAAAGATTTAAAGAAAATCCTATATTACTTGAAACGATAGGTATACTTGCGTAGTATCGTAATGTGAAAATATGTTATATAATTTATAAATCATTGTAAGGGCTCACACTAGCCGCTAGATATAAATTGAGATATATTTTATGGCATAATTAAGGAGATTAAAAATACACATAAGTGCGAGTTGGGCCAGAAGCCTCCTCCTTTAGTCATCTGCAAACCCAATCTCTTTGCTTCCTCGACGGAGATGAACTTATGAGAAGCACTTGTGTCCACCTTTGTTCTAGTTGTCTTCCCGTGTATTACCATCTCCACAAAGAGTGACCCCTTTGCTTGAGGTTTTGTTATAGCTTGCATCGCATTCAACAGTTGTATAGCCCTTATTTGTGTCATAGTGTCACCACCTTCTTATTCTTAATGAGTTGCAAAGAGAGAGTTTAGAGCCTTTTTTTGAGGACTGATTATGCGGTTTAGTTTGGTCATTTTTAAGTTTCCATTTTTCTTTTGCTTTGGATGAAGTTGATTCAAGGTGGATCATTTCGTTATGTTGATCCTTGTCTTCCTCCTCTTTGACATAGTACTCTTTTTATCCTTTGGCTTTATGGACTCTCTTGAGTAATCAATTAGGCTTTCGATGATCGCAATGGCAGTAGCAAGATCTTGCACTCCATGCATTTTAAACTCAGTGTTTGCCCACTGTGAAGTCCATCCATGAAGTTGAAAAGAGTATAATTTTCTGACATGTCAGAAATTTCAAGAACCAAACTAGTGAACTCCCTAATGTATTCTTGAATCAATCCCTCTTGCTCGAGCTTTCGCAATCGGGCTATAGCCTCATCCTTCGCTTTCTCGTGATAGGATTGTCTCTTTAGTTTCTTCTTAAAGTCATCAAAGGTGGATATGATGCACATACCTTTTTCAATATCTCCTCGTCTTCTTCTCCACCACAATCTAGTGATATCTGAGAGATAAAGAGCTGCAAATTGTAATCTTTTCTCTTCATCCATAATTCTCATCGTTCAAAAGTATTACTCAAGTCCCCATATAAAATTTTCCACTTCCTTCACATTGTGAGCTCCTCCAAAACTCTTCAGTTTTGGAACTTCAACCCTCTTAGCTTCGAAGGTGTGATGGTTGGTGGGTCTCTCTAGTGCCCTTTTGCATAGCAAGATGTCTCCACGCATTTCTTTCAAGCTGGCACGTACGTCGCTCATCTCTTCTTAATGGGCTCTTCATACCTCCTGAAGCTCCCCCATCAAATATTTTCTCTTCTTAGTCATTTAGTCCCTTAAAGACTTCTCTAGTTGAAGCATCATACCTTTGATCATCGAATGGATTGTGATGTTCTCCTCCTTGAGTCCATCAAGCTTTTGGCCAAGATCCTCTATTTGTGCCTCCATTCCATTCATTGTCACCTCTACCCGAGCAAGGCATGAATCAAAGCCGTGCATGATCTCCTTGAACATCCCATGTGGTTTGGATGTGGTTGGATATTGTTAGTTCTGACGACCTTGCCCTTTTTGAGATGATTCCACATAAGTGGGTTCGGACTCCAATACGTGCTCATTGATGCTCTTTGTCATACCTTCGAACCAAGGCTCTGATACCAACTATCACGAACTAACTTATCTCAAGTCACCAGTGCGGCTTTAACACTCTTCTTTGACACTAAATCAGTCTAACCTTCGGAATGTTGAACTTGTAAGCACAGAACACTATAGGAAGAAGAATGGGGAAAAGTATTGGATAAAGGAACACTTCACTAAGAAAGAAATATTACAATGCTTGAATACTTGGATGCTTGGAAATTTTTCTTGGATGAATGCTTGGATGGTTACAAATGAGGAGAATGACTCGTATTTATAGCCCCCTCCAAGCCCAAGGGATACTTCTAGATTATATGAGAATAGCCTAGTTTCTAGAGAGTTCTCTACTATTCATCTATACATACATAGCCCCTCCCTAGAACTTTCTAGATTATTCTTGAGTTCTCCTTGGAGCCTTGCCTTCTCATATTCTTTAAAATTGGGTGGAATCTTTTAGAATCCCTTGAATTTCTGTCTAATATCTGTTCTTCTCTAGAAATCTTCCATCCCATGTTTGTCTTGTCAATTTTTAGAAGATGGTAGAGCGTGACAACAAGCTAAAGACTCGATATATGAAACTTATTTGGTACAAGAGACTACTGCATTTTGCTCGTATTATTTTGAGCCACAATAACGTATCAATAGTGTTAATGTTGCTAGGAAAATACCAACCATCATATCTATATTCCAAAGTCAGGAAAAAACTTAGATAATTGCATTTTATGCTACATGAATAACAAGGAGCTGAGATCAGCTATAATCTTCTATGTTTGTATTAATTGTGATGAAGTTCAATTATTACTTGAATAAGTTGACTCACATAACTTTAGGAGATTTCATATGTGAGCCTAATTTTTTATTTCAATATATATAGCTTTGGTATTTGACGAAGATAAAGAGGCCTGACGAAGTCATGTATGCTTTTTGCATTATCATTTTTCTAATTTTCTTTCTCATTACATGTAGTTTCCGAATATTTTTTATGTCCTTTGGTCAGACGGGTTGTTCATAAGATTAAGACATAATCAGGAGGAAATATAATGCGCCAAATTTATGTTGGAAAAAATTTCCAACGTAATTAAGTACATAACATGTGGTATAAAAAATATGCGATATAATTTACTAAACTATGCTAACTTAAATAGTTGTTCATATTTTAGCTGTAACAAACCTGTTTTACAAGTTTTATGTTAGTTTTGGTAGAATCTGAAAGGGCAGAGGCCCTTTGGATAGGACAAAAACTATGGGTTGGGACTCCCCTGATTTATCCATAAGAGGCCTCTCTGCTTGGTAATTATTCCAACAAAGCATTTTTTGGCAAACCAAAATTAATCAAAACAAAATCCGCCGGTGGCAAAAATTACTGATAGACATTCATATTTTCTCATGAATTTTTACTTCGTAAAATCTCATTTTTCCTTGCAGTGATGGCAAACTGTTAAACATTTTTTTAAACACAGCTGTATCCAATTATGACGAGTGAAATAGAGAATAACCAACTAAAACATCATAATTTGTTTTCCAGAAGCTAACATTATTGCAGTGAGAAGTTCTTATGGATTTACTATGTCAAAAAGGATTAAAATTAATGTTCAGTAAAATTTAGAGGGACCTAGAAGAAATACATTGCAAAAAAAAAAAAAAATTAGTGTTTACAATAACAGAAAGAAGAATAAACATTGAACATTAATAAAATTTAATGATTTGAAGGGGAAAAGATTATGAACTTCTGCATGCACATTAAATAGATTAAAAATCAAAATACATAAAACGGTAGTAGCCGTGGAAAAAAACAGAAAATTAGATATATATATGCTGGCAAGATTGTTGCTTTTGAAATAATTAGTATTATGGCCAGTGTTTATATTATTTTTAACAGAAAATTAGATATATATATATATATATATAAAGATGCAAGGGACCGGAGAGAGGAATTTGATGAATAGTAAGTGGTGGTACGGTTGGTGTGGCGTTTTGTTGTGGGGAACAATGTGTCGAGGATAATTACAAGAATGAGTTAACTCTACTGATTACTAATTATATGTCCATTTTATTTTGGCTAACTGGATCTCCATCCAGATCGCAGTCGACAGTTACCAATCCAAGATAGTACTTTATCTTCTTCATCATTACCCTTCTCCTCTTTAATTAAACCACTACTCTCCACCATCTTCCTCCTACATCTCCTAATCTCTTCATCATGGACTTTGGCTCTCCTTCAGACCATCTTTGCTATGTTCGCTGTGCCTACTGCACCACTGTTCTCGCGGTAAACTTATCTCTAACTTATCACCTATACTTCATCTACCTTCACATGAAGGCAGCCTATACGTCTAGCTACCTAGCTAGATGCGTTTCATTTACTAACTACTACACTACTACTTCATGCCTCTGCTTTCCTAGCTTATTCTCTCTCTCTCTCTAGGAGGCTCATCCATTGGCCGCCATGCTACTAGATCTCCCTTGCCGCTAACTTTGTTATAAGCATTGACCATTGTTTCTCTTCTTCCTTCAACTAAAGGCTTCTTTCAAGACTCCCAAAGGGAGAGAGAGAGAGAGAGAGAGAGAGAGAGAGAGAGAGAGAGAGAGAGAGATATATATATATATAAAGTTGGCTGTGAAATGCATGATTTATGCCTGAAATATTAATGCATTACACATGCCTAAAAAAATTTCAGTTCGATTATAGATTTTTAATACACTTGAATATGTTTTTTGTTGGAATAATTTAAAGGTTGGAGTTCCATGCAAGAGAATGACGGACACAGTGACAGTTAAGTGTGGCCACTGCAATTCCCTCTCTTTTCTCAATCCCAAACCTCCGTTTCAAACGCTGTGCTCTGATCATCAACAAACGCTGCTTCAGGTTCGCATCTCTCCCTTACCTACTTCATTATATAATGTGTTTTTTTTTTTTTTTTTTTTTTAAATGGCTTTTCTACTATATACGGAGGGAAAGATGGCTATTTGATATTGGATATATTATTCTCAGTTCCTGAAGTCTTTATTTTTTTCTTTCGTATGGCATACTTGTATATATCTGGTGATTAGCATACATGTTCATGTCATATTTTAAATAATTACACTTGGGTGTATGGGATTGTTGTGCCTAACTGAGCCACGTACGTCTTCTTAAGTATTGACAAAATATTGTATTTATTTGTTAATCGATTTTTTTTCAGAGGCCATGCAACTTTCTCTGGAAAGGACAACATTCACTAGCCTCTTCATCTTCGGCAGCTACTGAAGACATGAGCCCAAAAGCAGCTCCCTTTGTCATTAAACGTAATTTAATTAATTAATGAGAACAACTACATTACATTTTACAGTATAAATTAATGCTTTCTATATATATATATATATATATATATATCCGGAGAAGAAGCACCGCCTCCCATCTGCCTACAATCGCTTTATGAGGTAAGGGATCATACATATCTTTGCCTTCGAAGTTGGTTCTTTTTAATGATTATAAATATGTTTATTTGGATTCATAAATGAAAGAGCAAAAGGGTCTGTGCCTTGGTTTGTTGAGACTTATATCTCTCTTATCATCATTAATCCGAATAATCTCTAGCACGCCTCAACCAAAATGGTGAGTTGAAAGAATAAAGAATACAACGAATAGAGGCAGTTGAAGGAGCATTTGGTTGCCGGAGTTTATCAAAATATGTTAAAAAACGGAAAATTTTTCTTTTTATCCTTTAGTTTATGTTTATCAAAGAACTATAAGATCACTCGGGTAAATAAAAAATTTCAAACTTCAAAAAACATTAAAAACTATTCTGATAATACGAATCCTTTTCTATCATAAGCGGGTAGTACTTAAATGTAAACATAGATGATCATCTATAATATAAAAATAAATTTAAATATGAATTAACTCAACTTTATACCTCTCCCAAAGTATTGTTCCAAAGATGACGGAGATAAGAAAAGATAATGAAATTAAGCATCATTGTAGTCCATGATTAGAACCCAATAACTTTATGTTTAAAAAAATGAAGCATTCAAATACATACATATATATATATATATATATATTACAAAAAATGGATAATAAACATTTCTCCATTTATTAAATATTAAAGGTGAGGCACAATGCCCAATAAAATTTAGAGATATAGAAGGGGATTAAAGCATTAAAAACATTCAACTTAACAAATTATTGATATTAAAATATGTAGCATTAAAATCAGATTTAAAGTATCCCCTCCACGAATATCTACAATCTCAAAATCGTTGGTGGTTACTACAAATACCATTGCATTAGTACCCTCTACCTTTTTATCACCAACTTTTCCATAGTCTACTAGTAGTATGTTGATCAAAAGCTTGATTTAAACATTATGCTTAAGAAAGAGATACATGAGTTAGGGCTAATTCAAACAGCAGAAAATAATATTAGCCCAATTATAACAATTTTGATTATTTGTAATATATAAAGTGTTAATAGCAACTCTAGTATCCAGAGAATCTTGTTCAGATTAAGAAGAAATATATTTTGAAAGTTGTCCTTCCTATTATTTCTTCTCCTCCAACTAGTGAACTACAAGATTGTGAGATTGCCATTCTAGATGCTCAACCATATCCAAACTTTATATCTAACAATATCATATCAAAAAATGATGCTTCTATAGATATATATTTTCATACTATTTCAAATTGGTTTCAAATCACCATGGAAGAAACAAATAAAAATTGAATGAAAAGTCACACACGACACCCGAGCTTCAGTTAAATTTCTTCAAAGTAGTGGCCCATCTGAATTGGAAACTGGTTACAAATAATAACTTTATTTATTGGTGTTCTTACCAATATATATTTTGCCTTATTTTGGTTTATGTTTGTTTTTATGATGTTCTCTTTTTTGCACTATATTTGGTTTGATCCTCTTTTTGGATGTTTTTATTAGTGAAAATTATCAGTTTGTTTTAGAAAATCATGATATCAATACTTTAAAAATAAAAATGTATTATCATTATTTAATAAGTTTTCAAGCATATGGATGCCTGTGCTGCCCCTTTGTGACCTAGGAATGATCCTCCACATTGTAAGACATAAGCTTGAGTACTTGCCCTCTAGCTGACTATTGTTCCATCCACAACCATATGTATCCTCTAACTACTTTAGCAAATGCATAATAAAATAACTACATTTATTTAAGAAGTTGTATGAATGAGAGTTGAAGCAATTAAAAATTTATATAATTTTTTTTTAAATACCAGCATCGGTGCAAATTAACATTATAGTTTATATGTTGTAGAAATGTGGTTATATAATAAATTACATTAAAACTTAATATTAAAAAATTGCACTTCTTAATAAAAATAAAAATACATAAAATTATTTTTTCTCTATCTCTCTATCTCTATTATTTTCTTCAATCACGCATATATGTGAGTGCATGCTTCACAAAGATATAGCATCTTGATTTGATCTCCACTTCCTTCTCTGCTAACTTCTTTCTATATAAACTACTCTATTCATGATGTTATTATATACTCATAGTCATTAGTATCTAATTTAAAATTATTGATAAAATATCAAATATGTATTTTTAGTGCCATGGCTAAGTTCTAAAGCAAATTGTGTTATATGATCATTTTTTTTTCAATGACCTCATTTCCTACATATATAAAATGTAATCAAAGCATAAAAAAATATTATAAGCATTTGATGCTTTTAAAATATTAAATGTTTGCATTTCAATCTATTTCTTATACTACATCAAGTATCACATGCATCTCTCATCATACCCATATAGAACTTGGGATATATTACTTTTCCTTTTGTTATTTCTAAGAAAGTATTCATGTTTCTTAATGATTCAATTTGAGTTTACTAAATAGGCAAAAATTTTGGTGAACCACTTTTTGTAAAGATGAATTATAATATCATCACGTATATGAAAAATATTTATTATTAGATTTCAAACATAAACTTTGATCTCATTTGATGATACAAACTTAATTTATGAGAAATCAAAGTTAATAAGCCCTACTAAGTCATCAATAAATTCATATACAAGGGACCCCACCATCAATTGCCGGATTTGGCAGTGCAGTTGGTAGCAAGCACTGTAAAAAAATATAACATTCAATACTCTTAAAGTTGAATATCTTTCTCATTCCTATTTTCATACAACAGCTCAAATTTGACACAAATCCATTTGAAAACCCCATAGTGCATCCATATACATATTGTTCTTTGTTGTTCCAATGTGAGAAAGTATGTAGCTTTCACTACAGAAAATGAGGTTATTTTTACGGCCCTAAAACCGTCAGATAAAAACCGTAGTTGATTAGTAACTATCAATCAATGTTTTTACGTGTGCAAACATCAAACTATTAAATATTTCCCTATTAATATGAAGGTTTAGGTGTGAGATATGTAATGCATAAGAATTGGTTGCTACGCTTGTAAATTTCTAAAATAAAAAAATTTGGGTTGGATTTAACTAAAACTTTGATATTTCAGTAATAATTTAAAATACTGATGAAAGTGGGTGGTTTATTAGCAAATAGCAAGTTTCTTATGCTCTTCATATAATAGCTCCAAAGTTATAATCTAATTTTTTCGTAAAAAAGATAAACTAAAAATGCACAAAAAATAACGTTTGAAATTAAATGAAAAACTTGAAGAAAATTCTATTCAAATTTACTTCTGATGTGAATCAATAAACGCATGAAATAGATTACTATACTAGAAATGCGGCTGAAATAGAGTGCAGGGTGTCATCCTTGAAGGAAAATTCCAGCGGAATAACCCTTCGGTTACCACTTATTGGTTTTTGGAATGGGTTCTTACCCAAAACCAATGGTTTATTCCATGAGTTAGTCGTAAGTTAGCAGAGGAGTAAGCAGTCAGAAATTTCAAGGCATATTTTTGATATATTACAAGTCATCGATTTTGTCATTGATTTTCACCACTTTTTCTGTAGTGTTTGGGCTTTATTAGTTTACTTGCATTTGTCTCTTAAAGTTCTGAGTCACTCCTTTTACAATATTCTTTCAAGTTCAACCTTGCTTTGATATTATCTTTTGTTTTACCCCCTGATGTCTATCAAAGAATTGAAGATATTATAAAATAAAATAAAAAATTCAATATGCATAACGTCAATATTTGTGTAATCAAATAAGTTTTCTAGTATAGAAGATCTCTGAAAATACTCTGCTTAATTCAATTATGTGTAGCACCAAAATTAGAAGGACGATTTGAATGTAGTTTTGGTCTCTTAGTGATATTTGATACTTCACTGTTCATCTATCATAAATTGCAGACCCCAGTTTTCCTTAAAGGAGGACTTGATTTTTTAACTTTATTTTCTGTAAATCTACCTTTATTCCTTCTGAATGGTTGATCGTAGGCTAGAAATCTTTGATAAAAATTAAATTAAGAAATAGTTTTCTTTCGTGCTTTAACGTAAATGCCTTGAACAGGTCTATGCAGTAAGGACAAGCTAATTTTTTTATTGTACCCCAACCAGATAGCATTACATAAGCCTAAAAATCACTAATCATCCATATAAAAGTAGCTTTAGGCTAGAAAATCTATTTTATAGTGATTAAAAAAGTCTGCTCGCCTGTTTCCCTTAATATTTGAAGCTCAACTATTAAAGATTTTAAATAGACGTCAATTACTTACTTTGGACTATGTGAACCTAAAATGATCAATGTCAGAAATAAAAATGGCATGGTCATGCACATATCAGGAGACAAATTATATAGCATAATAATCGCTGGCCAACATGAGTAGAGTGTTGCAGCTAGCATTACTGTTCAGTGTAAACCTATCTGCATATAAATCATGTCAAAGTTACATGGTTTAGCTGCAAAGTCAAGATAATTATGATTGAAGGGTCTCCAAGCTTCTCATCTAACGAATGACTCAAAGAACTAGTATCAACATCTATGGTATCGTCATGTCTTGTGAGAAGCTATACACAGAAGCAAACAGTCTCTAAGGTTAGGGTATGAGTGTTGTATAAGACGCACTTATCTGGAATATTTTTCTAATGTTTACTCTTTCTCCCCCTTTTTTTTAGTCTCTCGGTATCGCAAAATCTATAGTTTATCTCCACTACATCAGCTTTATAATGTAACATGCAACTGTTAACACTAGTTTTTTTGTTCTATACAACTCATTCAGGTTTACATATTTTGTAGGGTTCGTTTACTTCAATAATTTTGCTACCCGAATGAAGTATTCTCTCGACATATTAAAATCAGATTTGATGCTAAATATTCTCTACACCACTGATAACATAGTATGTGTTGTGCAACCTTCTCATAGAGGTCATTGTGTAGCATTCAATAAGTCATAGAATTGGTGTGCTTCATTGTTCGGTGCTTGATTATCATTTGTGACACTCTCAACAAAATGAGCCCTATGGGCATTATGAATCATTTCTTTGCAAG